TCCCTGCCATGGCAGGGGGTCGGACTTGATGATCTGCTCAGGTCCCTTCCGACCCTACCAACTATGAAACTATGAGGTGACTGGCTATGTGGATGCAGGGAGACCAGTGGATGTGATGTGACATACCTTGACTTTAGCAAGGCTTTTGATATGGCCGCCCACAACATTCTTGCAGGCAAGCTAAGAAAGTACAGGTTGGATGAATAGACTGTAAGGTGGATAGAAAACTGGCTGGATCATCAGACTCAAAGGGTAGTAGTCAATGGCTTGATGTCTAGTTGGCAGCCAGTATCAAGTAGAGTGCCCCACGAGTTGGTCCTGGGGCTGGTTTTGTCCAATATCTTCACAAATGACCTGGAAGATGACAGAGTGCACCCTCAGCAAGCTTGCAGACACCAGGCTGGGGGGAATAGCAGATACGCTGGAGGGTAGGGTGAGGATTCAGAGTCACCTAGACAAATTGGAGGATTGGACCAAAAGAAATCTCATGAGGTTCAATAAGGACAAGTGCAAAGTCCTGTACTTAGGAGGGAACAATCCCATGCACTAGTACAGACTGTGGACTGACTGGGTAGGTAGCAGCTCTTCAGAAAAGGACCTGGGGGATACAGTGGGCAATAAGCTGAATATGAGTCAACAGTGTGCCCCTGTTGCCAAGAAGACTAATAACATACTGGGCTGCATTGGTAGGAGTGTTGCCAACAAATCAAGGGAAGTGATTATTTCTCTCCTATTTGGCACTGGTGAGGCCGCATCTGGAGCAGTGTGTCCAGTTTTGGGGCCCCACTACAGAAAGGATGTGAACAAATTGGAGAGAAACCAGTGGAGCACAATGAAAATGGTTAGGGGGCTGGGGGAACTGGGCTTATTTAGTCTGGAGAAGAGAAGACTGAGAGGGGATTTAATAGGAGCCTTCAACTACCTGAAAGGTGGTTCCAAAGAGGATGGCGCTTGACTGTTCTCAGTGGTGGTAGATGACAGAACAAGGAGCAATGGTCTCAAGTTGCAGCAAGTGAAGTTTAGGTTAGATACTAGGAAAAACTTTCTCGCTTGGAGGGTAGTAAAGCACTGGAACAGGTTACCTAGAGCGGCTGGGGAGGGGCCGTTCTTGGGAGGTTTTAAGAGCTGAAGACCTGGCTAGACAAAGCCTTGGTTGCGATCATATAGGTGGGGCTGGTCCTGCTTTGATCAGGGGGTTGGACTAGATGACCTCCCGAGGTCCCTTCCAACCCTCATTTTCTATGATTCTATGAATGCGTACTGAAACAAATCAGTAGCGTGTAGGACACTGTTGTGAAATTGATTATGCCATGGCATGGGACCTTCTTGTGAAAAGATGTAGCACATTTCACTTCTTACACTTGGTTGTGTAATTGTGACCTTTGCTTTCACATCTGGCAGTATATTTGAACAGATTATTTCCCTCTATAATTAAGGATCTGCTGCCATGTAGTAACAAAGCTCCCTTGTGAGGTCTGAGGAAAGAAAGTGTATCCCCAGTGGTGGGAGGCAGGGTAATGACATTTGCAGAGAGTGTGGATAAAGATACTGGAAACTATAAGTCAGCCTGATCAATCACATTATCCAAACTTTTCAAAATTGTTTTCAAAATGCGGTTAAAGAAACTTTGCCTGTCACTGCTGTTGGCATTGCTACGGTATGCCTGGTATTTACATCTACCTATATTTGGAGCTGGTTAGGAATTTTCTGACAAAATGCTGGAACATCCCAATTCATTGCTAATGGACTGTTTGCAAGAAAGGTTGGCATTGATGAAAGCCCAACTGAAACATTTTTTTTAAAGTTTCTAAATATTTTGTGTTGATATTTAAAAAAAAAGTTCCTGTTTTCCAGTTGAAAATGATTTTTCATTTAAACGTTTAGGCTAATTACCATTAAAAAGAAAAAGTTAAAATAGAAACAAAATGTTTTGAAACTTGTCAGAAGAAACCATTTCAATGTACTGGAAGTGAATTTTTGGTTTACAAACATTTTTTAGATTTTTGCCTTTTGTCACAAGTCGGGGTGGGCAAAAAATTAAAAATCTTTAGAATTCCCACAGGGTGGGAAATCTGCATGATATTCAGCTCTACACACTTATGATTGTATTTGGGTTTGGAGTGCTGTTCAATGTAGATCTGGTAAGTAATAGTTCTAAGATTTCATTTATATTTGCCTATCTGGTATGTCAGGTAATTCCATCATGCATGCATAAAAAATTTAGGAGTTGACAAATCAACTAGAATAATTATTTGATCCAATTAACTGGATTAGGCTTGGCTTCTAGGAGTGGCTAACACTTGACTTAACATGTCATACATAGATATGACACTGAACACTGCAGTTATGTGATATCTCCAGTGATACTTTCAGTGTTATATCTGTTTAGCACTGACTTACCACAAACATACAAAATTACAAAAGTTGCTGTGATTAATTCAAGTGCAAGTATGTGTATGACTGTTTTTTAGAATAAAAATGGCTAGTGCCAATTGCTTTACTAATGACTTTAGATAAATTAGCTTTAGCTACTTTTTTCCAAAATAAAATAAAGTCTACACTAAAATGATTAATATGTTTTTAATTCACAGTGCAAATCTGTGTGCATCAGCCCTTAGTCTGATCAGACCAGAGGTAGGCAACCTGTTATCTCTGTGAACCAGAATGACCCACCCTGAGTCAGAGGTATGTGGGCGGGGGGTTGGATGCTAGGACGAGGCTGCCACTGTCACTTGTCTCTCTGGTGGCATGAGGGAAGTGCCCACAGCCAAAGCCCCCTACCACTGAATGTTGCTGAAGCCCCATGTCCACAGACTCTAGTCAGCTTGTGGGCTGCAGGTTGCAAACTCCTGCATTAGACAGTTATCTCAATTTCCTCTCCTTAGAGATTTCTATTGAGGTATAATTTGCATAAGAAACTGCTCTCCCCTTAGAAATGTGGACTTTACTCATTGCATTCTGAAATACTTGCAAAAATAGAGCTTTCTGCTTCGGTAATTTTTTAGATTTTAGATCTGCGTTCTATAGCAGAGCCTTCTCTCTGGGTGAAAACTGTTACACTGACACTGGTATCCCTGTCCCCATTTAGTATTGTGCACAACACTGGGTGGCACTCTAAACACTGGCTGGAGCCTCGAGCCACCCACATACTCATTCTGTGTGAGATGCTTGTAGGAGAGAGAGATCTTTGCCTACTGGAAAGAGATGAGAGCAACCTGAACAACAAGCTCCTGCCCTTCCCACTGCTGCTGCCCGATACCTTGCTGTGTTACAGAAGCTTTTCAATAGAGGGGAGCGACATTTTCCCAACAGGGCATCTTTACTGAATGTTTTTTCACTGTAAGACGGGGGTATCAAGCTCATCAGGCCTGTGGGCCAGATGAGGGGTGTGGGGCTGGTCTGCGGACTTGGTTGAGTCCACAGACCCGCTCCACATGCCAGATCCAGCGTGCAGGGCTGGTCTGGCATGGACATTGCATGCAGGGCACGCCTTACACTGGCTGCATTGTAGCACACATGCCAGCTGCAGCCCCACACAGTGCATGCAGCATGCACCAGACCAGCTCCACATACAGCGTATGCTTGTAGCACACATGCCAGCTGCAGCCCCACACAGTGCATGCAGCACGCACCAGACCAGCTCCACATACAGCGTATGCACCAGCTTCAGCCCTGTGTACTAGACCAGCTTCATGCACTGCATATAACGCATGGGGCTGGGGCCAGCACATGCTGCATGTGGCATGTGGGGCCAGGCGGAGGTATGCCATGTGCAGTGTATTAGTCCAGTCTAAGATCCACAGGCAGTATTGGGCCAGATAATAGGATATTTGTCCCACGGATCTTTGTTGCCTTTCAGTTTCTCTTCTCTAATGTGGGGACACCTGCTTACATGATTCCAGGAATTCTTTGCATTGTAAGGGCTTTGAGAAAGGGACTGCTTTTTTTGTAAAGATGTGATGTTCATGCATTATTTCTATACTCCTTTGAACAAGGCTTATTATTTTCAGCAGAAAAGCCGTGGATTCTTAAATTAAATTATTAGAATTTTGGGACATTCCTCTGTTTAATTATAACTTAAAGGTAGGCTGAATTTTGGCCTACATTCTGTATTTTCCTTACATTTTTTCTCTTGTGACTTCAGAATCCTGTCGCTTTAGCTCTGAGGAAAAGTTTAAATGCTAGATGTGCAGTTCTTCCCGGGTAGCCAAATGGAAGAATTTATTACTTGTGTCTGTCTGTTAAGAAGTAATAATAATAATAAAAGAAATTAAATTTCCCTATCTGAAATTAAGTTGCTAAGCAACCAGTCGTACCAAGTATACCACCTACATAAGCATTGTTACAAACCAAAACTTAATTTGCAGCACAAATCATTGTTGGATGGTGCGTTGTTATACTGAAAAGCCTAGTCTCAGGGAGTCAGCACAGTCAGGACCACAGGCTAGTTTTCAGTCACCATAAGGTAGTATGGAAGTCCTTGCACTCCAGCTGCCTCTTGCCCTTACAATTCAACATTCCTATGTCCACAATAAACCTGGCTACTTGAACCAATCAACTGAAACACCCCCTTATGTATTAAAAATATTGAATTGTATGATCACATTTAAATCAGTACAAGTAAACGGAGCAGAGGTATAACTAGTCGATACCATATAATACTGGGTGCCAGCAACACATGATGCAAGAGCAGCAGCCAGAAGTTTGCTGCTGCAGCTTTTCTTGTTGCTGACACGTGTCAAGCAGCCATTTAAATACTGATTTTTGGCAGCCAAGAAAAAAGGAGGGGACATCTTTCTCCTTACAGCAGTGAATCTCTGTCCATTGCTCCTTGTAAGAGGTCACGGCTGAGGCCAGCTGGCTCCCCTGTTACCATCCTCAGACCAAAGGGGTCAGTCCCACCTTCTGACTTGCTCCCTGCAACCTAATGTTAAAAGATAGAAGTTCTTCAGTGGAGTCTTCCCCTTTTCCCCAGCTGGTATCTCTGGCTTTGCTTTTCCAGCTCACTATTCACATCGCTCCTTGTCACCTAGTACACTTGCTGCTTTCATGCCATCTGGGGTCTATTGACCAGGTATTCCCCCCCCACAACGCAATCTGGGGAATCTTCTACCCCAGAGCTTTCCAAACTTTTCATGTTGGTGACACACTTTTTAGACATGCATCATTTCGCGACACAGTAATTCAGTTCCGGGGGAGGGGCCAAGGGAAGCAGACGCGAGTAAGGGAGCTCCGCGATGCCCTTCCGCAAAATTTTCTGCATTTCGCGCGACACACCTACACACTGCCGCCGACACACTAATGTGTCGTGGCACAGTTTGGAAAGCTCTGTTCTACCCCATTTTAGCTGACACCATCCCGAGTGGGAGGCTATACGTCTTTGTCTATATTGAGTCACTCAAGCCCTGTGTTTGAGTTAGGAGATCTGATAGGACACCAAGCCTTCCAGTCCTGGCTTGGGTGTGTATGCTAATGTTCAGTTCCCATCTTTCTGCTCAGGATCCCTAAAAGTCCGTTCTTTACAAACAAACAAAAATACAGGCAGAGCGTCTGCCCCTCTCCAATTTCTGGTGCGTGTTTCTTGGCCTTCCACCCAGGGGTCTTTCCATTCACACCTGTTCCTGTCTTTCTGCAGCCTCATGAAGTGACCAGCCAGTCAGGGATGAGAGCCTCCTGCGTTATGGTGTTCCAGTCCCCTGCAGGTGAGCATGCCTTCATTGAGTGGGGAAAGCTCCTGGTGGAGATGGGAATCTGGGGCTTTCAAGTTCCAAGTGCATTGCTGGGTTTCACTGGTTCCCCACTTGGGGCTTCCCTTGCTGGACAGTCTAAGCATTTATTTTGGGTTTCATGCCAAGATAGCATGAGTGGTTGGCTCCGTGCTAGGGTGGCATCTCAGTGAAGCCACTCACAATGGAGGCAGGCCCCGACCCATGTTCTGGGGGAGAGTGTGAGCAGACTTACTTTCTCCCCTTTCCCTCTCACCTTGTTACATTCCTACACCATGTGCCACCACTGCTGCTATGCTCTCCCTGCTGCTAGAGCTGCTGCAGGGAAGGCACAGAGGGGAGGAGTGGAGCAGCAGAAAGAAATCTACAGCAGTTGAACTCAATTCAACTGAAAATGGAGCCTTTCCCTATCTAAAAGAATAGTGTGTGTGTGTGTGTGTGTGTGTGTGTGTGTGTGTGTGTGTGTGTGTGTGTGTGTGTGTGTGTGTGTGTGTGTGTGTGTGTGTGTGTGTGTGTGTGTGTGTGTGTGTGTGTGTGTGTGTGTGTGTGTGTGTAAAATATATAAAATAAAAAATGCACTGTTACCCCATCATTTCCCTTCAAGGCCCACAGTGCAGATGGAATTTCCAAGGGAAAGTTGACATGATGGGAACATTTCTGCATAAACTTTGGCAGCTGGTCTGCTTGTGTGGAATTACACCAGCAATTAGCTTCTCCAAGGACTCGGAGTGCATCTACACAAGATGTTTACTGTGTTGTTGTCCAATTAGCTCTGCAGTAAAGTCTCAGTGTCTACATGTGCAGCCCTGTTAGGCCACAGTAAACTAATAAACGCTGCCATATGATAGTACTTGTCAACCCAAGTGCTGTTCTTTGGCAGCATTATTTACTCCATCACAGCGTACGTGTAGATGCTGATGGGACTGGCTGGGACAGAAGGGTGCATCAGTACAGGAGCTGCCTGCTGGCTAGCCCTGCACTGAAGCACCTTCATGGCTCAGCCAGCCCCTTCGCAGCATGTTGAGCCAAGTTGGAGCAGCCCCAGGCTGGCAGGCTAACCCCTGCCAGCTGGGTCTGCTCTGCCTCAGCTCAATGTGCTGCAGTCCTGTGTGCACATGTAAACACAGTACCCAGGCACAATAAACTACAGTGCAAACTGTACCAGAGTTTATTCAGTCAAATTAATAGCATGTGTAGATGTGCCTAGGGTGCCTCAAGGTTGCTTTTTGCACCCATTCCTTGTGATTTCCACTAAGCTCAATTCAGCTGCAGGACAGGATATGAACAGAAGACTACTGTGGTCACTTTTCAGTTGCACTAACTTTCTTTACTATTTTTAAAAATCTGGAATTTGAAGTTACTTCATGACAATGGTTTGTGCATGTGTGCCAAAATAAAGAGAGTTACAGAATAACAGTCACTACTGTGACACAGACTGTCCTCCAAGGAACTTGGAAGTTCTGTAGGTCTTTTAGCCAATGCTCAGAGGCAACTAGTGTCATCATCAAAAGCAAAACAGGCAACTGGAGCAATTGAGGTTTGAAAACATGGTGCCTTTACTTTGGCAGTTTCAGTCCCTGAGGAGAACTTCAACAAAATGGATGACATATTGAGATATAGGGCATGATTGCCCTACATCCACAGCACTGGTCTCACAAATGTTCTTTTGATTAATTATAGTAAATTGTGCATTGTGCTCTGACACTTCTTTCAGCAATAGATTCTTTTTCTTTGAGATTTAGAAGGGAGTTTATTGCTCATGGAAGTGGAGGATTACTAGTGCCGGCATAAGCCAGGCATAAAGCAGACCAATTCTGCTGCTGTCAGAGCATATTTACCAACTATGTTCCAATGAGTTCCAATGGTCCTGAGTGACTGAGATGCCTCAGGATTAGTAAACTAGTCCTGGTTTAAAGCCTTAATCAAATTTCCAGAAATGCAGCTGTAACCCAGGTGGTACTCCAAGAGGTACCCCCCTCTCCAATTGAAGGGATCAAACCAGGTGCACAAGGGCTGTGGGAGGTGTAGGGACTGTCCTCCCCCCTATAGAGCATAGCCAGACCACCAGTGGACCTTAACCATATACCTTTTAATGAGGGAACAGTACTGGGAACATAACAGGCATAAACCAGGGGGTATAGGGGACACTACAACACCCTGAGGGGGCAGGATTCAACAAAGGTTAGACACTTACAATCATTGACAAAAGGGCTAACAAAATATAGAACAAAAAACAGCAGAGCAAACCATACTGGTTGGTGAAATATAAAAAGGCACAAATACAAAATGTCAAATGACAAGGAAGTATAGGGCCTAGGTACCTGGAGGGGGAGAAAGGGGGAAAACACAATGGCCCCTTTCCACTGCAAGAAGATTTTCTTCTTGTTAGTTCACTCACCCCAAGTCACCCTAGCTGGGACTTGAACTCAAATCTCCCACATGATAGACAGAAACACTGCTATACAGCCACTACTGGTGGCACTGTTACAAACTGCTAGGGGTCTTGACCTTCCCAGAACCCCGGCCTCATGTCGCACTGCCTGGTCTCTTATTGGAGGAACTGGAAGCAGAGCTGGGAACCTCTCAGGTCACTGCTCAGATCCTTGCTGGAGCAGGGGGAGCCTTTCCTGCTGGCCACAGCCTCTCATAGGTGATCCTGGAGCACAGCGGGGAGCCTCTCCTGCCGGCCGCATGCTGCACTCCTGAGGGTCCAACTGCTGCCTACAGGTCCCACTCCTTCAGGCTCTTCTGGGGCAACTGCTTCCACTGCACTGGCCCAGCTCTTTGAAGCTCCTTCCTTGTGGTCCCTCACTGGTCTGTCTTGAGTCAGCCACGCTGCCTCTTTTATCCCCCTCCAGGTGACCCAAGGGGCCAATCAGGGGACATGGAGGGTGAGTCTCTGGGGCCTGATTGGTGAGGAAAAGGAATCCCAAGTCCTCCAATCATCTTTTGCCTCTTCAAAACCCCTGAGCTAAGTCACTGCCAGCCAGCCTGTCACACAGCAATATGAAAAGCTAGAGAAAGGTGGTAAGACAAGGCAGCTCTGAAAGAGAAAGGGGAGCCATAGAACTGGAAATGGAAACATTGGTTTACCTCTTGTTCTGGGAGATACCGGCCATTTGAGACTCAACCTAGAAAACTCTGCACCTGAAAAAATCCAGATGCTACAAAATGTAGCAGCCTGTCTGCTTAGCAGTACATTACTCTAAACTTTCTTCTCTCTACATCAGCTCCAACATGACTAAAGAGTGTAAATCAAGATTTGTATCCTGATATTCAGGTTGTCCTTGTGACTAGTCCTACCTACCTGACAGATTTCTTTCTCCTCTGTAATCATTGGCTCCTGAGACATTTGCATGTTGCTTGAGCAAAGAAATTATCAACCAGTCAGTGGAGGGTGCCTGAGTAGGAGTGAAAGGAAAGCTATGGCAGAAGCTGGATGTGCACTACAGAACCTGTTTTCTCAAAAGAGCAAAGTACCTGCACACCTTAACTCTCCAAAATATATGTAAAAATCATAAACTTTTTTTTACAAGGCTTTCCTTCAATAACATCTATACATAAATATCCACCTGCACAGAAGCTAATCAAGCTGTATCTGATATGGGATGATGGAAAAAAGGTGCATTATCATTATTATTCCCATTTTTGAATGCTTGGAAAGTATACTGAATGATGAACATATAAAGCAAATTGGCTTTCTTAAGCTCAGTCATCAACTGCAAATTAACAGAGCCTCCATTAATAGACCCACTGGATGAGTTGTGGTATTCATTCTTGCCCTTCACCTAATGGAAAGGGGAAATCTGATTCCATTTGCAGTCTTTAAGAACTGGTAAAACCTTCCTTCCCATATAAATAATTACTGCCTCAACCTGAAAGATTGTTTAAAGTACAATGATTCTTTTTTCTTTTGTAATCTCTGAAAGACATAAAAATGCCAAGTCTAAAGAATTTTCTGGTTATAAAACATTGAGAGAAATGCTTGGCTGTAGTCCATAGGGCCTTGACACAAGGCAGGAAAGAGAGAAAGCTATCAACAAACAGTGGAGAATTCTGAGTAGGAAGATATTTGGGAGTGAATGCCCATGGCTCTAAGTCTGCAGTGTTGCAGGACCTAATCCCACTGATAGTTCATTGGAATTAGGCCCCTACTTTGCAAAATTTACAAGGATGCAGGATGCACATAAGGCTAAAATGGTATATAAATGTAGTTTCGTTATTCTGCATTTCTACTCAAAGTCATTTTCAGCTATAAAAGTGAGAGGATATCACATTTATGTGGAATAAAGGTAACTTCAGAACTCAAATGAATGGCATTCCTTGAAATGAAAGATGCTTGAGAAACTTGATAACACATAGTTCATGCCAGATTAAACCCTTTGCATATGGTAAAATGGCAGGGAGTGGATCTTAGGAACTTAGTTATTTGTTGATTATGTGCATCTTACAAAGGGGCATTATTAGTTCCAGACTGAACAACTTTATCCAGATTTTTTGTTTCTTCTCCTTTGCACTACATAGATAGTTGCAAAAGGACAGCGTCCCCCAATGTCTGCTTGAATGCTACATTTAGTACATTTATCAAGTACTAAATGACTCTGCAGTAGCAACTGCACAGTCAGGGGCACTTGAAGACACATCCACAAGGTAGAATCAAATTACACTCTCCCATGAATATCAGTTGCAACACATACCCAAGCTGGCCTCAGTTTGCTTTGGATTGTTCAGCTTTTCTAGAGGTTGAGTTCTAAATCAGTGTGCTTAACTGTAGGCCTCATTATTTCTCAGGAAAATCTTCTATCAGCATTAGCACCAGTGGTTTCAATGAGAATTTTCCTTGAAGGTCTGCTGGATTGGGTCCTTTGTTGTACTATTATAATCCATCTCCTATAATATAATTATAGTTAAAGAAGTGTTATTTATAGTCTGCTTTATTATATCTGCATCTATTTATTTTAGCTAGTAGTTAAAATAATTTCAATTAGTAATTGAGATTTGTTATTTTTTTATGGTCTGTATTTCTTTCTTTTATTTCCAGTGAGTAAGCTGTCTTATTTTTAACTATAAAGGGAACTCTTCAATCTCCTGCTGAGAAATATGCTAGGCAAGTGATACAAGTAAAATTGCAAAAAAATAAAGGACTTTTGTTACAAAAACCAAAACTTTTCATTCTGGCTCCAACCATCTGTGTTTTGATTTGAGAGGGTAAAATATATATATATGGATCAAAGTTCTGAAAGATGCTGTGACCAGATGTACAGAACAAGATGCTGACTCAAAAGGTGAATTATAAGGTGAATTTTGTGTGTCTGGTTTTATTCCAAATTATGGTGAAGCCAATTTAAATTGCTGTTCTTTCTTGCCAATCTAATGAATGAAACTATTAAAAAAAAAAAAAAAGCCTTGGAATTTTTTGCATTTCCTTGGTATAAGTAAATACAAACCATTCTTATGATCTTAGTTAAAGAATTATAACCCTTCCCAATGGTATAATTTTTTAAATACATAAATGTCTTGCTACTGTTCTTATGTAGCAAAGGATACTGGTCCTTTGCAAAATTTGCTATTGAATTCCAATGGAACAGAAACAGTTTGATTCAAATCATCTGCTGCTAAGGAGCTAACAGCACAGTTTAGGAAGGCTTGCAAATACTCTCTCGTCAAAGGGGCAGTGGTGGATTTGTCTAAACTCCTGATATAAATTAGAGATGGTCTAAGTTACAGCTACTGCTAATGACCCCAAAGGGCCAAACTGGCAGGTGGGGGCTTGTGGGCTGCAGCTTGGCTTTAATTCTACAGTAGAACCTGGATTGTTTGCATCAGGGTGATTCACAACCTGCTTGATTTACAGAAGGTTGCCAAATTAACACCAACCTGCTCAGCTTTTAGCTTTGGCTTTTATTTCAGCAGTGCTGCTTCTCCATGTAGCTGGAGTTCATCAGCAGCCCTGCACAGCTAATCAGAGAAGTGATGCCTTTCAAAATAGCAATCAGCTGGGCAGCTCAGCAGTCCTATGCAATCAGCTGGGCAGCTCCATTTGCTGTTGATTTGCAAACCCTCATTTTTACAGTGGGATCAGTAACCTAAACCTAGGAAGGCTCTTCTACTGTACAGGTTTCCCTCAATTTATATGGTAGATGCATAATCAAAATTGCATAAAGGGAACCCAGTTTATAATGTAACAAATAGGGATATGTTTCCATGGCGGGGAGTGGGGGAGGGAGAGTGTCTGGGGCTAGGGAAGAGGTGGAGAGAGGGGTGCAGCGCAGCCCAGCAGCTGCAAGCAGGCAGCGTCCGCTGCTTCCAGACACTCAGCTCTTCCTGGCACTCGGGGTGGGTGGCAGCCTGCTCTCATCCCACTGTAAGCTGGGACCAGTGATGGCACTGGGCTCTTTCTGGTGCTTGAGGCTGGTGGCAGCCTGCTCTCATCCTGCTGCAGGCTGGGGCCAGGGGCAGCACCGGGCTCTTCCCAGCATTCAGGGTGGGCAGCAGGCTGCAGCACGATGAGAGCAGGCTGGGGCTGGCAGCCATTGCAGGCTGAGCCTGGTGGTGACACCAGACTCTTCCTGGCACTCAGGATGGGCTGCAGTGATGGGAGGGGCTGCTGCCACCCCAACATTCACCATAGTCCCCCCCCAACCTTCCCTCCCAGTGCCGACACCGAGCACCGGGAAGAGCCCAGTGCCGCTGGCCCCAGCCTGCAGCGGCCTGCAGCCCCAGTCTGTAGCAGGACGAGAGTAGGCTGCCACCAGCCCTGAACATTAGGAAGAGCCCGGTGCTGCTGCTGGGCCCAGCCAGCAACCTGCTCTCATCCTGTGTGCAGAGCCTGGCGCAACCCCGCAGTCTGCAGCCCTCCCGGGGTGCGTGTAGCAGCAAGAGCCACACCCCACACCCATTCACACTTTCCTCTGTTTTGGTCCTTGCTGCAGCCCCAGGAGCGACTGACGGACTGCACCGTGTCCCTCCCCTGCCCCTTCCCCCCCAGACTTACCTCGCCGCGCCCTGGGCCTCCGTTTCTCCCCACTCACCCCCGTACCTGCTGCAGCAGCCCTGGGAGCAGCCGACACCACCTGCCTGCACCACGGCATGGCGCAACCCAGGGGCTGGGGTGAGTGGGGACAAGCGGCGCTCCGGAGCCAATCACATAAGAGTGACTTTACTTCATATATAATGAAGCTGGGTATGTGGCAGGGCACTTTTGGTGCCTGCCACTTTAAGGGCAGAAAACAGGCAGCAGCCAGGTGCCTGAGGAGGGCAGCCATTTTGGACCCAGGGATATAAGTTGGGCTGCAGTTTGTTGCAGGAGGAAGGAGGTAACATCAGGTTGAGAGGCTGCTTTGAGAGTATCAAGAGGGCAGGGGAGGAGACCCCTTGAGTGTGGGCGATTGAAGAGGCCCAGTGGGGGCATAGTGGCCCAGTGAGGGGCCAGAAGCAAAGTAAGCCAGCAGTTGTAGAATTGCACAGTCAACACTCGGGTGAGGGTAGCGGGGGACACTCAACAGACCGCTCCGGGGCTGACTGAGGCATGGTGAGATAAGCCCAGCAAGGCCGGGCGGTATGATTGTGGCCCAAGAGACAGGGCAGTATGAAAGAGGCTGGGTGAGAGCCAGCAGAGTGAAGGGGACCCCGGTGAGAGAGGGGTGGTGTGTAAGTGGCCCTTTGGAAGAGCAGGGTAGAACTATAACTGTGTGCCCAGTTTGCTCTTGCTGTAAGCTGGAGAGGTAACACACAGAGCAACATCTGCGAGGCATAGGACCCATGGAGGGCAGGTCAGAGCAGGGATTAAGGCCCCTGTCAGCAGGGTGAGTAATGGGTAGCCTCCCGCCTTAGTAACAATTCTCAAATTTTTCCATCAAGGCGTGGAAGGCAAGTGAAGCGGGCAGTTACCCCAGAAGCAAGGCAGAGACCTGACAAGGAAGCCACCCTGTTCCAGGGTATAACAAGGGTCATTGCATAAGAGAGAAATTGCATATATAGAACCCACATAAATAGAGGGAAATCTGTATTTGCTTTCTTTAGCCCCTAGTCTTCTGGCATAAAGGATTGCTATGTCAACTTTGTGCCACAGGAGGGCCCTGCTAACTGATGTGATCATCTTAGGGATGATCGTGCATGATTTTAGGCAAAAATCTGCCACTGCTGCACAGGCAAATAGAGGTGCCAAATAAACACACTGATGTCCAAAGGAAGCATATATGCCTTTAAACAACGTGTCTTTTTGTCTCAGACCAACACGGCTACCAAGTACACCCCTGAAACATGGAAGATGCCGAATTTTAGCCGATTTTGGATTTTAAGCTTCATTGCAGAACAACAAGGAAGTTTTTTTTGCCTCCCTGCCTGCCATCTGACACCTCCAGGGAAGGAATTCTACCTGATCAACACATCAAAGAGCTACTCAACACAGCTCACAAAGACACTCTCATGGACCCAGAGGGACAGACTTCCATCTTCAGCTCCCTCTGTGCAAAATGAAGTTTATTTCCTACCTATGGGGACTTTTTACCATCTTGTACCATCTACACTTTTCCCAGAGCCTGACGAAGGGACTTTGATCCCAAAAGCTTGCAGAAAAGGACAATTTTCTTGCCATTTTCCAGTTGGTCTAATAAAAGATCATTTTGGAGCCAAGAGTTCTAGTTTTTTGTATGTCTTTTTGTCTCGGACCAACACGGCTACCAAGTACACCCTTTGAACAACCATGTATTTATTTCAATAGCTATGCTTCTTGAGTCAAAGGGACCTTTGCATGAATAACACCGTAGGTTTTAACCATATGTCACAAGTGTGATTTGTTTCTGATAGCACTGCTGCAGAAGCCTTAACAATTCAGTTTTCTGACTTGTATACATTTAAATGCTCATCTTTGAGGTTATGTTACCCATTTTTTTTACAATGAAATTGAATTCAAAACAGATTAAACTTAAAGTTTAGGGCCTTTGTGGTTATGCTGAATGAAGTGAGTTGTATTTCTTCATGGTAAGTAGTACCAGAATTAATATTTACTCTTCCAAAGTGTACCTTCATCTATATTGCTAACATTTTAAATGCAGTCTTAATCAATAATGTATACTTAGTAGTTACAGACATAAAACAATCACCTTATAGAAGCTTAGAGGTCATATTTTAGATACTATAAATGGGAAGTTGATATTGCTGAGGGTGTCAGTGATGGCACTGTGCTGATTGTTGGAATTCCTGAACATGATCAAGAGTGAGGGAACAACATTTGCGGTAATTAAATGTACCATATTTACGCAAATCCAAGACCATTTTTTTTTTCAACATGTGGGAGAAAAGTTCCTGATGCTGAATTTTGAGTACAAGCTGTTGGGGTGGGGGGGTGGGGAGGGGAGGAGGGGGGAAGAAGGCAACTGCTGTGGCTCAGGGGTGGTTTCAGTCCTAACCTGGGCTCAGGGTTGGAGTCAGTCAGAGCTGGAGCTGCTGCTCCACCCCACTGGGCCCCACTGCCTCTGCCCCCCACTGCCTACCCTGGCTTTCTCTCCCTGCCACTTCCCCCCCCAACTCCTGCTCTTCCAAAGGTCAGTCAATAAAAATTCTATCCATGTGCTGATTCCTGATATGGAGTAGCATGAAAACTGGAATATACTGTATTTATGGGGTCTTTGGAACATGGAAATTGGATAGAATTTTAAGAAATCTATCCCCAAGATTGTGCCACTTAAACAAAATTTTACAAGAGTCTTTATGTGTTGCCTTTCCAAAAGCATTTAATATAGATCATTTTCAACTCAGGACAGCTCTGTCTTTAACACCACCAAAATGGATATGCTGTCACAATGAACTGAGACTAGCAGAATGAATGACAGAATAGTGAATAGCCCGTTGCATGTGCTGGAACATAGCCATTCATTATTTGAGCCACATAAATAAAGTCACTTTCAATAATACTATGAAATGTTCAGAAGAATTTACTGTAGAATGAAGATAACCACAGTCATAAACAGCTAAACCCTCTTCCCTCCCCACCCCATAGCCTGTAGCATCTGTAGGGGTCAGTCATGCATTGTTCTCTACATCTCCTTTATGCTCTGACTCACCCTTCAGCATAAAGTGTCTGTAGGCCCTTGTTGCACTATACCATTGTATAGTCTGCTTCTTGATCTGGTCCTCTGAGACTGAGAAGCATGGTCTTTAGCAGGTGGTCATCCTTTACTTGACACATGTTTCCAAACAGCTGTAGCTTCCTTCTCATTATGGAGGCAATGACTTTTCCTTTCACTGTGATCCCATTTCCGCTTGTTTCACTTCTGGTGTGCTCTCATCATAACATTTAATTTCAAAGGCCAACTGTCTTTGTGCATCAGCCTTCCTAAAGGTGCATGTTTCTGTCAAATAGAGCAGGATTGAGCGTACACGTGCCTTGAGCATTCTGATTTTTGTGTGTTGGGAGATTCCCTCATCTCGCCTTATTGACTTCAGGTCACTCAGGGCTGCCTACACCAGCTGTATCTTCCTTCCAATCTCCTTAGAGTATTTGTTTTCCCATTGTCTTGTACATGTTGTTAAACAGCCCAAATCATTTGACAGTCCTGTGGAGGCATCAATAAGGCTCTGCAAGCCTTTGTTCTCTGTGTCTATCAGACCATAGTCTCTCTGCCATGAACCTTATTCCAACACCTTCGGTTGTTTCAACTCCATCCATCAATCTGTCAAGACAGGTCAGGAAGGAGATTTCTGTTCACTCTGTAGCTGATCATCATCTTGAACAGCAGCTTAGCTTACTATTTACCAGGATTGCAAACATCACCTCTTTATAAATGTTTTTGATCGTGGCTATAGCAGCTTCTTGCTCACAGCCCACACTGTACCATACTGAGTTGATGTTATTTTCATAGAATCATATAAAATCATAGACATTAAGGGCTGGAAGGGACCTCAAAAGATCAAGTCAAAACACCCTGCTCTGGGCAGGAATACTGCTGAGATCAAATGATCCCAGCAAGGTGTCTGTTCAGTCTTCTTTTGAAGACTTCCACGGTTGGGGACTGCACCACCTCCTTTGGAAGTCTATTCCAGATTCTGGTCACCCTTACTGTAAATAAATTATTCCTTACATCCAACCTGAAACTATCCTCTAAAAGTTTATGGCCATTGTTCCTTGTCCTTCTTGGGGTGCCCTAGTGAACAGTATTTTTTCCCAGCTCCTGACATTCCTGTTTTGAGGTTGATGAACATCCTATCAAACTTTCTTTATTTTTTCATCAGCTCTGGGCCCAAGATTTGCTGCTCCATCCTGCTGTCTTTGTGGAAACTTGCCTGCCCCTACAATAAGTTTTTACTATCTAGGTTGTGAATCTTTTAAGAAACACTGTGAGGTGTACTGTACTCAGGTGGGTGACCAGAGAGATCATCTTGTAATTTGTGCAGTCTCTTTTCTTGGCTCTCATCACCCAGATCAACTTTCCCCATTCTTCAGGGGTCTTTTCTTCTTTCCAGATATTGTTGTATGCAGCTTCCTAATTAAATCTCTGCTTCCTTCTGCAATCTGCCCTACAAATATGCTATCCACTCCTGGGCTTTTGTTTTTTCTTTAGTCCTCTGATAATTTTCTCAACTCCATCAAGATGTCATCCTTGTTGTCTCTCTGCCCTGGCAAGGCTATAATTTCCAGGTCTTTGAGAGCCTGTTTATCTTCACTCTGTCAAACTTAAAAAGGCCCTCACAATATTCAGCTCATTGCTTAGGATCACTCTTTTCTGAAACAACTGAGCCATCATTATCTTTAATGGTGCAGAGTCTAGGCTGGTTCTTCTTCCTCACCATCCTAACTATGATGAATACTTCTCTTGACTTGAGCTCTCCTACAAACTTCTCAGTGCTGCAGTACTCTTCTTTGAGCTAGGTCTCCTTGTCCAGCATAACTGCCCTCTTCACTAGTCTGGCATTCTGGTACAGCTACATATGACTAATAGGACCCTCTTCACTTTAGCTTTTGCTTTTCATTGGCCACATGGAGGATTTCTTCTGATATACTTCAGTCTACCTAGCTGCCTTTTTACCCCTTAGTAGACCTGAGGCAGCTGACTTTGTAAGGCTCACTTAATCTCTTCTAGCCATACCTTAGTGCTTAGTTCAAGGCTCTTAGCTGACCCTCTCCTCCTATTCCTTCCTTATAGCTGGCCTTTCTAGCACCTCCATAATAGATTTTACTGGCCTTTACAGCTTAGACTCTCATCCAATGAGACATCTACCAGTGCACTTTTCCATCATTTATTTATCAGGACAAAGTCAACTGTATTCCTGTCAATGCCATTTGGTGATTCTTGAGGCAGAAGCAGCATAGCCCTGTTCACACAGCTCTGTGGGCAGGCTGCATAGTTCTGCTTCTTGGCACTAAGGCAGCTACTCTAACTGGAACTAGCAGTGGTATGGAGCTCTGAGTCTGGAGTTCTGTCAGGCATCTGAGACAGTGTCCTGGATATTGCTCCCCAAAAGTTGGGCATATCACTTATATGTAAGCTAAAACAAAAATAAAATCAAACAAAATGCTATGTAACTTGCTGTACTAGTGGGTTATCCTGCATAGGAACTCAGACAGCTATACACCTTTAACCAGGAGCATGACTTCTGCCTTTGTCTCCCCAAACCAACAACATGGCTCCATAACAACATTTTTTTCCAATGCAAATGTATGCCAGGCTGTAATTATTTTATAAAAAAAACCTGTAGGTAAAAATACATATTCATCGTGTGTGGATGCATAAATTACCTCCAACAACTGAGAACTGGGGGTCAGAGAGATTTAGCTTGTTGCCTCTTTCCTTAAGAATGAACAAGACACAGGTTTTGCAATTCTGGAAGCTAAAAGTAAAATGCAAGTGACGGTTCTAATCTTTGACAATTGTGACAGAAATGGTAGTTGGGTTTGCAAATACTTGTTGCCTAACTGTTGGGAAGAGCAAAGTATACAGTTTCACTGTTTTAAATATAATTTTTTAGATATAGATTAACTTCCTTTGTTCAGTATTTAGTATTGTTTTACCGGCCTTTAAATGGAAACTGCAAGCATTGTGATAAATGGATTGAAAGGTTATCTAGTTTCCCTGCAGCTTCTGTAATTGCTTTTATGTTCTTTGTTGAACTGCTATTCTGTATCTCCTCAGAGCCAGGCTCTTTAGTGAACAGCAATAGATACCTTTATGTCTATTATGGCAACACTACATTAAAGGGCAGCAGAAAGACACTGCTGTCTCAAAGCTATATTCTGCTGGGGGTACTGGCCTTTTCTCTCTTCATGCCAATAGATTCTGTGCTCA